ACGTGACTTGTCTCCTGATGACGTCATCATCACAGAAGGCCACAATTCTCTAAAGCACTCCCTTTTCAAGATACCTGCAAGATTTGAACCAAATTGAATATACTCTTTAGGAGTTATAGTACTTTTAATGGTGCACCTTTAATGTCACGTGACTCGTCTGCTGATGGCATTATCATCATGTGAGGTCAATTTCTGTTTGTAAGCCTTCCATTGCGATCTGTTCTCAGCAGCACGTGGTCGGCATTTTGCCAAGTCCGAGTATATGCCCTACGCACTCTTCGCTGTCTATGTTGCAGGCAGATATTGGGCATCCACACACACATACAGTTGCATATGCACAGCACTGTGCGAGATGTGATTTCCAAGTTGGCAATTTATATTTTATATTACACGTGTAGCGGCGCTACACGTGTGTGAAAAAGTTCACCAGTTATGCACTTCATGCAGCTGACTCCTATGTTTTAGATGTCATCTCATGCACAATTCACGTTTATATCTCTTACGGTTGATTTTTTACCGAATTTTGAAGAATAAAAGAAGTTTTTTTATTGTAACTTTCGGTCTGATGACGTCATCAGCCCCAAATTTTACACACATATTGACAGGGTAAAGATGATCATTTACATTAACTTTCAGGCGATTCGAACAAACTTCGCCACAGACATTTATTCAAAATTCATTTTTCGGAATTTTTAACCTTTCGCTAGAGGGCGCTCGATAATTAGGTGACGTCATCAGTAGATGACTTGAAGAATACAATACCCCGACAGACTAACACCGTTGAAAACAACTTGATACCTATTACCATTGTCTTAAACAATTTAACACTTCCGGTTTCGACCGGAAGGAAGGGTCGCGTGATTTGACCCACACGAGATGAATTCAAGACCACATTTAATCTTGCCACTTGCTGCAAACAGTGTGTTGCGGGAGGCCACGGTTGATCTTATATGGATTTCTATAAATTTAATTAACGGATAATTTAAATATTCAAAATTTAATAATAAATCCCGTGATGACGTCATCATGTCGTGAATATTTAAGTGTTATCTTCATTTTATAGTTAGTGCTTGCTGTAACTTTGACGACTATCAACGATTTATAAAGTACCAAAATAGTGCCTCCAAAACGTGTGCAGAGTGAATGGGTTGAAAAAAAATTTAAAAATCAATAATAAATCACTTGATGACGTAATCATGTCGTTATACTTCGGCATACATTTATGCAATAATGACTATGCCTATGCAAACTTTGAATGCTGTGCGACAAAGATTAATGGCAAAAGTCCTGCACAGAAAAACGTGTGCAAAGTCTATGGGCTTTAGGCCCAAAAAGAAGAAGAAACCCCTCCCCCATAAAACTAGAGCTTCTATGTCTGTTTGCAACAGAATGTATGGTTTTTCACTTTTCATTGAAAAAGCCATCGTCGTGATTGCATATCTGCAAAGTTTCATCCCGCTGGAACATATACTTTTGGAGATACAAGGCATTAAAGAATACACCTTTAATGTTGCGTGACTTGTGTGCTGATGACGTCATCTTCCCTTGAGGTCAATTTTTGTCTATCACACATCCCCTTCCAGATATATGCTAACTATCAACACGCTTGGCCATGTCCTTTTGGAGATATAGGGCCTTAAAGAGTGCATCTTTAATGTCACGTGACTTGTCTCCTGATGACGTCATCATCAGCCAGAGTCAATTTACCTCTAAAGCACTCCCTTTTTAAGAAATTTGCAAGATTTGTAGCCAATTGGGTGTGTACTTCAGGAGATAAAGGGCCCATAGGTGTGCACCTTTTATGTCACATGACTTGTCTCCTGATGGCGTCATCATCACAAACCTCTAAAGCACATCCTTTTCAAGATATCTGCAAGATTTTATACCAAATTAGATATACACTTTTGGAGATATTGTACTTTAAATGGTGCACCTATAATGTCACGTGATTCTTCTGCTGATGGCATTGCCATCACGTGTGAGGTCAATTTCCGTTTCTAAACCTTCCTTCCTAACTACCTGCAAGGCTTCAACCCAATAAGATATATATAATACAATATATAATACAAAACATTATACTTACCGCGGAGAAGGCACAGATTAGATTTTTAAATATTTCTCCCTTTCAGCGTTCCATACAATGCGATCTGCGCCCGGCAGCACGTGGTCGGCATTTTGCCAAGTCCCGAGTATATGCCCTACGTACTCAGCACCATCTATGTTGCAGGCAGATATCCACACACACACAGTAGCATATGCTCAGCATGCGAAAAAGGATTTCCGAATTGGCAATTTATATTTTAGGGGGGGGGTTGTCGGCGGCGCTACACGTGTGTGAAAAAGTACACCAGTTATGCACTTCGTACAGCTGACTCCAATGTATTAGCTGTCATCTCATGCACAATTCATGCTTATATCTCTTACGGTTGATTTTTTATCGAATTTTGAAGAATAAAGAAGTTTTTATTGTAACTTCCGGTCTGATGACGTCATCAGCACCAAACTTCACATACGTGTTGACCGGTTAAAGATGATCATTTAACTCAATTTTCAGGCGATTCGAACAAACTTCGCCCTAGACATCCATTCAAAATTCATTTTTCAGAATTTTTAACCTGTCGCTGGAGGGCGCTCGATTTATTGTTTAGGGTCAGAGACCCGGCCTGTGGAAAATGGGCAGGCACTCATAAGTTTTAAGCTACATCCAATTATATTCATGACTTACAATTTGTACAAAATTAGGAAGAATTGAAGATAAACATGGTCTGGTACAACCTAAAGTATGACTACAGTGTGTTTATGCAGGCACAGAGTCTATATTGGGCATCAAGGAAAAAACACAATTATCCAGGCCAACCCCGGCCGCTGGCTGACCAAAACTCTCACACCCTATCATTCATCACATCCGCTCAAATGTCCCTAAATGCACAAAATATAGTCCATAACCTACAGAGACACCCTTGTTCAACAGAAAGAAAAATAGTTTACAATCCTCATTAAACAGTTATCCATTTCCGGTTGAATTATTCCTCACTGCAAAAACCTAAAAACCAGTGTAATACAAAATTTATCCTTCACTTTTCCTTTGCTCATGCAGTCAGACTGCACGCGGCCACTCCACATGTACATCTTTGTATGCAACCAATACGTGGGCCACAAAATCCTACAGTCTTCCATCGCAACACTCTCTAAATTAACTTCCAAATATGACCTTTTAAAAAATCATTCATTACCTCCGGCGTGGGCTGCACGGTAGTGCCTGCCCAATTTTCACAGGTAACCGTTTCAATTCTTTTTGCTGTAATTTGAATTGCTTTAGTTTGCCACTTAATGGAATATTTGTAAACATTTATTCCCCTCATTTTATCTGCTTGTGATTATAGACCAGTTTGATGGCAGATTAGAGCTCCGTCGAAGACAGATATATTTAACGCATACATGTACAATACATATCCGGTAAACAATCCAACTGAGAGAGCAGGGTTTGGCTATTTGACTGCAGAAATTTTAGACGGTAATATTGGGAAAATAGAGAACAATTTTAATTATATAAAATCTCACATAATGTGCAACATTAAAAATTCAAACCGTCACGAACTACATGTACAAAATTCAAATAAGTTGAAGTTCGTTTGTTGTGTGTGACCTCCAGTGAGTGTTTTGGTTAACCCCAGCAGAGATAGCACTGCAGTAGTATAAATGAGCACCATGTATACAATTTTGTTCGACAAAAATCAAGGCAAGTATAATATATGGAATCAAAGCAAGTATAATATATAAAATATCCTAAAATGGGTTATATACAAAATCACAAAATTGTATTCCCAATCCCATCACTTGGAACCTCTCCACACTCGATTTTCAGACTTGATGTTGAATGACCGAAAAGAGTGTCTTGAAAACTCCAAAGGGCTTGGTTTGAGACAAAATGCAATGCGGTGATATCGGCACATGTTGAGGGGAGAAGTCCGCCCTGGTCTCTTCTAAGATTAAAAAAGGAAGAGTCGAAACAGTTTTCTATCGATTTTTTTATGAATGTACATAAAAACTGTAGTGTCACGTACGCACGTGATAG